GAACTTCTCAGCTTCTGTTAGTATGACAGTATTTTTTTTTATTTATAAAATATCTAATCTACGGCATTTAGTAGCAGAAATAAGAAAACAGATTAACACTTGAGGAAATTTGGGGAAGGTGTGAAGCGAGGCCCATAGTGTGAATATCAGGGTTTCACACGAATGTCTACCAGAGAGCATCCACAATTGTCCATGTTCTTAATGATCAAATGGACCACCACATGAGCTGTGATCAGTAGTTGGCTTCTTCAGTTACCCTGATGCTGGTCCCATTTATCAAAATTTGATATGACAGCAGAATTGGGGGTTGTACTTTTGTCATAGTGAAAGATTAATAGCTTCCATGCAGTATAGAAGCAATTCCACTGCCAAGCAGTTGTAAAAGAGATGATGAAGTGACAATCAGCTACCTCTGAGGTAGAAGTCAGAAGGAACTTAAGACACAGCAGAAGGAGCCAAGATCAGAAGCCAGAATCTAAACATTCTGAAGCACCAAAAGTAGTTGACACTGGATCAAGCTCTTTCCAAAAGTTTTAGGAAGAATGGCTTCCTCTTTCTGAACACATAACAAATGAAGTGGCATCTGAATTCCAAAGACTACCTATATTTACTGCAAGAGTAATCGCAATATTCAAAATATGGAAATAGTCTAAGTGCGTGTCATTTAATAAAAGAACAAATGAATTAGTGGACCATTTCTGTTGTGGTTAGCTCTAATTGTCAGCTTGACACAACTGGGAAAAGAGTATCTAAATTGTCTACCTTGGGTTGTCCTGTGGGCATGTTTATGGGGATTATCTGAGTTATATTAATTGATATGAGGAGACCCATCCTGCTGTAGGCAGTACTACTCCTTAGGTAAGTCTCCTAAACTGTACAAAAATGGAAAAATCGGGCTGAGCACAAAGCAAGCAAGCGAGTGAGTGAGCATTATGCTCTTGACTTGGGATGTAATAAGGACTAGATGTCTGAAGTTCCTGCCCTACCCCCCACAAAGATGGACTAATCAGAAATTACAAACTGAGTTAAACCCCGTTCTCCCTAATTTGATTTTTGAAAGAGCTTTTTTTTTTTTTTTTAATCACAGCAACAGAAACAAAATTGGAACAATTGTGCAGCCTTAAAAAGCAGAAAAGCTTGCAGTGTACAAAGTGGAGGACCTTAGATGAAATTAGGCTAAGTGAAATAAGTCAGGCACAGAAAGACAAATGGTGCATGATCTCATTTATATATGGAATGTTTCTCTTTAATGGATTGGACTTTGTATACGATTCATCTCTGCCAAAGTGCTTTTGGTCTGGTGAGGATTGAACCCAGGCATTCACACATGTTAGGCAAACATTCTACGACTGAGCTACACTACAGTCCATAAAACTCACAAGGGGGCTTAGTTCTTAGCATAACAGCGTTGAGTGAGAGTTGATAGGACCTTCAAGAAGTAATTGAACTATGGATGTTTTATCATGAAGACATCGCTGTGGTCCCTGTGGTAGTTTTGGGGAGAATGAGTTGTTATAGTGTGAGTCAGTTCTTTTGTCCCCTCTGTCCCCCACACATGCTTCTTTCTTGCACATGCTCACTTGCCTGTCTGTTTCTCAGCCATGTTGTGACACATGATAAGTCCCTCCGTAGAAGTTAAGGAGGTGCCAGCACCATGGTCTTGAGCCAACAGAAACGTAAGCTAAATAGTTCTATATAAAGGATTCAGAACCAAGAATTTTACAGTCGCAACACAAAGCAGACTAAGACACACCCTCTGAGTGTCATGACATACTTTCCAGGGTAGTTTTCCAGGAATCCTTTGGAATACCATTGTCCCAAAAGATGTCTTTTGACTCCTTTCTGCCTGGGGCCAGATGACCCTCCATCTTTAATCTTCAATCACTTTATCAAAGTGAAATTTCCCCATTCTGCCCCTGAGCCTTGCAAGTACATCACCCTCTCCAGCTTTTCCTTCAGGAAGGATGAGGGAAAGGCAGGTGAGAAGACCTTGTAGAAGGACAGAGAACTAACTGCTGGATGCTTTCTCTCTCTTCGGCTCCCCATTGGTAACTGGCTGCCTTTCTGTGGGCATCTTGCACTGGGCACATTCAGCCTCCTGTAATTCCAGCCTCCTTCTATCCTTTGTTCTGATGTTTGTTACAAGAGGTCATGATATTCTGGAACAAGCACTCTGAGTAAAATTTGGAATCAGACCCATGTTTCTTCCTGATCCGTGCTGTCTGTGGGCTCCAGGGTAATCAAATATCCACTTGCAACCTGGCTTGATGGAAAAGAATAATATCTACCTCTTATCAGACACAAATGATGTATACTAAAGGCTTTGAAAACTTCACAGACATAGGTCAGATTGCTCTTGGCTGTTAATATTAAAATATCTGTCCTTAATCGCAAAGGCATTGTGGCAAGGCAATCATTTATTACAAAAGATCCTTTTGCAGTTTCGAGAGGTTACAAGAGAGTGACTGCCCAGCTAAGGACCACATCTCACAGTCTGCTTTGCATTTGAATGAGTAAAGTGACTAGCTTTTACTAATTGGATGTGAGCAAACGAGGTACGACTTGGAAGCCACGGCAGTTAGGTGTGCGTGCGCACCACCTGCTTTATACTTTCCACCGGAGATGAACGGGATGACGCGCAGAGACTGGCAGTTACAACATGAAAGAAACCAAGTCGCCGAGTCATCATGTGCAAGAAAGCCGCCTGCTGACCAAGAATCCTTAGCTCATTGCATGAATGAGGAATAAACTCCGTTTTCCCCTTAAGCTGCTGAAGTCTTGGAGCTGATTTATTGTGATAGCTATTATGTCCTGAAAATAAATGCGATAAGGGGCATGGGAAGGTTGTAGCTCAGCGTGTGCACACCAGCTGGCAACGTCATCTTCGTACTGACTCATGCGTACCCTATGGGACCAAGGCACCCTGAAGGGATGCCTGCGGTGTTGTTGGTTATTGCGGTCAGGCAGTTTGTGCGCCCCTCCCCCTTGTGTGTATGTTCTAGAATCTCAGTGTTAATGCTGCAAGTAATTGGCTTCAAAAGTGTTCAGCTGCTGTGATCCAAGAGAGGCGTTCACTCAATGCAGAGACCTAGTTGTTGGTGTCTAGACTCACAATAAGATCCTTCCTCTCTCTGGACACTGGCCTCAACCCTCTTCCACATTCGCCAGGGCTCATCTACTTCTCAATAAAGTCCAATGTCTGGGTGATCTAGAAATGATGCTAAGCGGGGGAAGAAATGAGCACAGATGGAGTTCATGTTTCTGTCTCTTCCCCCATGGAATCAGCTTAAAGGCACTTTCCACTTTCCTTCTCAACTAGCAATAAAATGGAATAAGCCTTTTAGCCCAGGTCTTCCTGCTTATATACATCTGTCCCTCCCCTCTCTCTTCCTCCCTCTCTTTCATCTATCTACTCCTGTCACTTTCTGGTTGTCACTTCCTTGCAGGACTTAGGTTCTCAAACCCACTTTCTTAGCCCCAGTCTGGCCAGAAACTTAAACCTAGGCAAGGACTGAACTCCACAATGCAAAAAAGTAAGTGGTCTTTATTTATTAGTTGTTTTGTTTTTTTTTTTTTTTTTTTTTTTTTTTGTGGTGGTGAAATTTTCTTTCCATTCCTTTCCTTTTGGCATCAACACAAGACCATTCCTTGACCTCAGCTTTTCTCAGATGCACACACCGGTCACAGCTGGCATCCACCTGCATTTCTCCTTCTTGACCTCCATGCCAAGGTCCCAGCTGGTCCTATGTCTTCTGGCAAGCTGCTTCCTTTTGTCTGTCTTCTAATGCTGAGTCCTTTCACCAAAGTAAACTACCATTTAGTTTTGCTTCAGGAGCCCACTCCTGGTGAGGCTCTTCTCAATTCTTCTAGGCCAAGTCAGCGATTTAACTGCTGTGTTCTGTGGACCTCTCTTCATCCCACACTCAGAGCACCTGTGGTACAGGACCTTTTGTGTTTGTACCCAATCGTTTACAAGCTTCATAAGGTCCTTGCACTGCTTAACTCTGGAAGGGGCACTAACACACACACACACACACACACACACACACACACACACACACACACACCAAGGCAGCCTTCTACAAACATCTCTACCTCCTACAAATGTCCCTCTGGGTACTGGAAATTAATTGTACTTTATCAATTGTAAATTTGCTCTCCAATCCCCAGTAGAAAGTGTCAGTTAGTTCTGTGGAGTGGAGCTGTGATGCCCTGAGCTCACATTAGGGCTGTCAACTGTGCTGGACTGTGGCACAGGCAAAGCAAAGGCAACCCCCAGGGAGATGAGGGGAGGGGAAGGGCTCCACAGTCAAAGAAGCAAGGACGGGAGAGGGCACATGGATGGCAGGCAGGCAGGGAAGGCAGTCTTGGTTCTTCAGGGCTTCCTGAGCCTGCGCTACACAATCCCCTCCCCCAGCAGGCATCCCAATGCTGCCTCTCTCATTGGAGAACCATCTTTAACTGGTCCCTGTTGCTTGGAGCTCAAAGACACTGTATTATTGAAAGGACTTTGACTTCATCTCCTCAATTGTGACTTTCCTGTGGTCAAGAACTAAATCTTTATTGTGTCCCCAGAACGTAACTGGAGCGCGTGGAAGGTGTTCACAGCAGCAATTTTGAATGAGTGCTGAGCCAATGAGGATTCGTGAATGAGTGGTGAATGCTGGCTCAGAGTCTGCGTGTGGGAGCAGTGGCTAAATATGTCTTTCTAGTCAAAGCCCTGCCCTGCTGTGCCCTTCCGGTAAAAAAAAAAAATGCTCCCTCACTGCTATCGACACAATCCTTATGGCCCGCCCTCTAGCTTCTTCACCTCTGGGTTGTGACAGGTAACATTTCCCTGGACATGTTTTGCTTAAAAAACAACAACAACAACAAAAAACCTATGTCTAGCACATTAGCACCTGCAATGTGAGATGACACCTTCAATTCAAAGCAGATATCCAAGGTGATCCCCAGACCACTCATTGAAGAAACATGGGGAGAAGCAGGCTGTGTGTAGAGACATATAGGTAGACCTTTTATTTTAATTTTAATTTTTTTTGAACCAACCCAACATTTCCACTGGCAACTGTCAACATAGCTTAGGACACGAGCACTGTTTTATTTTTTTATTTTTTTTCTTAAAAAAATGTGTTTAAAATTAAACAGGTGTTGTTTTAATTTCGTTTTTCTTTCTTAGAAAATGTATTTATGTCAATGCAGAAAGCCTCAAGACCCGTGGGCAGTTTTGTATGGTGTGTGTGTATGTGGTATGTGTGTGTGTATGTGTGTTTGTGTTAAACCCAAGTCTTTTCAAAATACACTGGGAAAAGGTCTGGGAGGTGGGGGTGTCAGTGTGTCAGTTTTTGCTTTCTAGAAGCCAGGGCTCCTTAGGAATGTGATGACTTGGATTCCTTGGGGGTGGGGTATAACAAATTCCCCCCCCCCCAGGCTGGGAAGAGAGAGACTTTTGAGGTTTAAAAACAAGCAGGAACATGGGGAGATGAGAGATTCCAGTTCCTACCTTGTGAACATGCTTTCAAAAGTGGGCTTGAAGGCCGGGGGAGGAAAGAGGCCCCTGTTCTCTGACAAATCTCTTAATTCCCACATCACGTCAAGAAACCTTCTCAGCCTTCTGAGTACGGTGCATTCGAGAGGGAGGGGTGATGGCACTGACATTCCCCAGAAACACTGACTCCTAAACTATGATCCACTCCCTGAGAGACCTCCCAAGTCAAACACCTCCTTCTCTCCCACCTTAGGCACAAACCCCCAAACGTTGGAGAGGTGTTTCCCATTTGTTTCTCCCGATGCCCTTGGTCAACATGGAACTTTTTTTTTTTTCCTGCTCCAAAGTCTCTGTCTGTGGGAGGGCACACACACAGGGGCTGACACACAGCACAGAGAAGTAGAATGGCTTCCACCAAGAAGAGGGTGATCCCTCTGTGACTTGGGTTTGATGGCAATGCAAGCAGATGAAACTCCTCCTGCACCCTGAGTTGGAGTCAAGGGACAGCAGCAGCCTTGTGACAGCAGGAGGGTGTGTGCCAGCAAGTCCATGCCTCCGCCTGTTGCTCAGACATGGAGTTCCCTCAGGGCCCTTTGTCACTAACTTCAGAAAGAAAAGATAAGACAGGAAGTGAAACCTGGGAGGCAAATGAAACCGACCACAACGACAATGCGATGAAAGGAGCACCCCATACCAGCCATGCAGAGATGGCCTATTCTCACACCCCAACAGCTGAATGAGAGTCTCGATGCATCTTCCTGGAGACAGGGGAAGTCCTGCCCCTTGGGGGGGAGCTAGAGTCAAAAGGAATATTGATGTGGTGGAAGAGAAGAAGAAGCTCAGGGATGTGAATGGGAGGATGGGGTAGAGGTGGGTTTGTTGCTGTTGTTTTGTTTTTAATGAAATATTCTGGACAGTGGGTGTCTCCGTCATTCCATTGGATCGGGTAGGTTTGCTTTCTGTGTAGTGCCAGGGCCTAGGTCAGGTGAAGTTCCTGGGGCTCGGGTCCTGATGCATCCTCTCCAGGGCTGCCCAACCTGGAAAGGTTGGCGAGGAAAAGTGCCCTTCTCTTAGGAGAAGTCCTAGGCCTGCCCTGTGGAGGTCATGTTCTGGCGGTTCAGAACCCCTTGATGTAGCAGTAGGCCTCCAGTGTGGCAAATAGTATGTAGAGGAGCCACAGGCTCACAAAGAGCCACGTTGTGGCTAGCTTGCAGCCACGAGGACCTCCGAGCTCCCCACCCAGGTGGGGCCGCCGACGGTACAAGAGCACGCTGAGGCAGACAAATGCAAAGATGGTGAAAAGAGTGACAGAGAAGGCTAGAGTGCCAGCCGACACATGGAACTCTTGTCCCTGCATGGCCCAGTAGATGGCGGCCACGGACCAGGCCAAGCCAATACCCAGGAAGACATTGACAGCATTACTGCCGGTGACATTGCCAATGGAGGCATCTGCATACACATCCTGCAGGGCAGCAGCTTTGCTGGCAAACGTGTCTGGAAAAGAACAGAGACAAATAGGAGCTGTGTGAGGCTGGGATGCGCAGGGCCTGGCTTTGAGTATCCCATACTGGCAGCTTGGCAGCATGGGCAAAGGGGCCACGTCCAGCCCTGCCACTCAGGAGCTGCGTAGCCTTGAGCATACCCAATTATGGATCGGGGGTTCCTGATCCTCATCTGTAGGTATCCGAAGCTTTCGAAGAGCTATTCTTATCTCAGTACTTACCAAGACGGCGTATCATGTCCCACTGACTATGTTTTCAGCAGAGAAGACGCAGTCATTTCATAACATCTGCCCAGGGAACTTTCACATCCTGGGAATCAGCTTGGGCTGGTGCCAGGTTGTAACTGTCATGTGAACCATGTACCCACTTAACCCTGAAAGTGACTGAGTGATGCCCATGTGTTCAGAAAAATAAGGACCAGGGCAGCTACTCAAGATCACTTAAGTCAGCTGAAGACTTGACAATAAAATCCCAGTGGAAGGACCCTTCCCATAATATTGTCCCATACCCCAAAAGCTTCATCAAAAGCCATGAAATCAGAGGCACAGACCATAGCATATTCTTCTGAAAGCCTCAGTGCTGTCTGTTGCTTTCTGAACCAATTTTCAGGCCTTGGAAACACCCCAAATTATCTCTCTACCCAGTATATCCTGACATCTCATTGTTGCCAAATCTCTTAGATCTCGTAGAGTAAGCTTTTTTTTGCTCCATCTTGACTATAACCTTCTAATTTGGCTCTTCTCCTTGGTTATCTTTTTCCACATGTCTTCTCCCCTCACATCTGCTTTGTTACCTCTGATGGGTTAGGTATACCAAGGCATGGAGAACAGTGAGCGCAGGGCAGCTCACCTGAAAAGCTTCAGGCACCATCCTATTTCTTATCAACAGATTCACTTCCATAATAGCTGGACCTCAGGGATCACTCATACACAAAGCATTCCCCTAACCGCCAGTCTGTGCTGAGCTTTTAGAAGAAGGATTTCCTGGACTGTTGTGTGGATATAGTGTGACGATATATTGTGTGGATATAGTGATACTTCATTTTGAGTATCAACTTGGTTAGATGGAGAATTATCCAGGGGATTGGTAGAGGACCCCTTTGGGTGTGTCTGTGATGAAGTTTCCAGAGACTACTGGATCCTAAGGGTTGTGACTCAAAGAATGGACAGATTCACTAACAGTCATAGTATGATGGCAATATTAGGAGGTAGTTAAGGGAAGGAGGGCTCTAGTTGGGGAAGTAGCTCACTGTGGGACATTTTGTGGGCCTTGTAGCTTGCCTAGGGCCCTTTCCTATACTCTCTTTCTCTGTTTCCTGTCAACCTTGATGTGAATTTCTTTTCTTCATCATGTCTAGCTCTTCCTGACATGCTGTATTGGCATCCCCAAAACTGTGAGTAAAATGAATCCTTCCCTCTTTAACTTTTTTTCTCTTGGGATTTTTGTCATAGCCATGCTGCAGAAATTAATAGGTGTAACTGATATTCAGAAGGGTATTTTTTTCTTTTATACAAGGAAGGTTGCCCTTGGTTCACCCTGTAGACCCCTGCCTGGTGAGATTCAGCCCAAATACTTGAAGATAGCAAATGGTCAGAGTTCAGATGCGACTCAGACTGAATTAAGTAGGGATCCTGGCCCTGCTACCTACTGCTTGTCATTCAGGCCTGGTTTTCATAGGACCTTCGATGACTCAGCTTAACCCAGCATTCCTTGCTTAACACATTTACTTCGTAGAAATTATTAAGATGGTTTTAAATTAGTTGAGTCTACTCTCCTTTGCTAGATTTTTAGCCAAGGGCTGAGAAAGAAATATGTCTGCTTTGACTCACATAATAGATCTGCCACCAGCACCACACAGTATCAGATATCACACGAGTTCGGTCAACATTAGCTTACTAAGTGAATTAATGAATGCTTAATTGAAGTTTGCCTTTGGATATTTAGAAGAAGATTAAGAGCCTGTAACTCCTCACACAAAAGGATGAATCTCACTCAAGTTCTTATACCTGTTCGGATAGGAGTCATTTTGACTTCATAGGTAACCATAGGAACAAGGGATTGTAGATATTTCCATAGGGATATCTATAAGCAGACTGATATTTAATCTCTTATAGGCTGCCAGAGGCAAATGGAAGAACATTATTATATGTATGCGATTACTTGCTTGTGTCTTATTAACATAAAAGCTTACTTGGTCAGGTACCACATCTTTGGTAGACCCGTTTTCCCTGTCTAGTAAGGTTTTGATGAGCCAGGGCAAGGATTTAACAGTAGCACCTGCCTATTGCTTCCGGTCTGAGATGAGGCAGTGTTTTGAACCAGGGAATAGCCTCTTTGCAAACATAAGCACCTCTCACTCTCACCTGGCACAGAAGTGCCGAATGCCACGAACACAACAGCTGTGACTGAATCCTTGAGACCGATAGTGCAGCCGAAGTGAGAGGCTAGGTCTCCAATGATGGCGGTGAGCATGCCAATGATGAGGATGGAGACCACGAAGCAGGCCCAGCCATGGCAGTACTCTGTCGGGGGCACACAGGCAAAAAGCACCTTCCAGAAGACTGTCAGGAAGTGCATAACATAGTCAAAGCAGGATGGCAGCCTCTCCTCTCCAGATTCATCCTCATCCTCATCCCCTGCTGGAGAGAAGATAAACAGGCTTGAGAAAGGGAAGGGATGTCAGATCTTCATTCACGAAAAAGTCATGTCCAACCCACAACACAAGCATCCTAGGCCAGAATGGGGGTTCAGCTCTCTCTAGACAGCAGGTGAGAAACAGGCTGTGGGCACCAGATAAACAGCTGGGAAATGGGGAAAATATTTGGTTATGTGGTTGCCGGTTAGTTTAAATTCACGGTGCTAAGTGAGCATGGGAGAAAGCGAGCAAGCTGTGGAATAAAGGAAAAGAATAGAGAATGGGGAGTAAGAGGCAGGGTGGAAAAACAGGAGGACAAGAGGGTGGAGAAGAAAGAAAAAGGTAGAGAGACAGGCTGTATTTGATGTTCTAGGCAAAGAAAACAAAACTGCCGTGTGCTTCCTCACCTTCACTGGGTGCCAATGGGATCCCTCTCATGTTTTCTAACCTGTCTACAGCGATCGTAATTCTGTCATTGTCCACCCCCAGAGGTATGGCTGCCATTTCAGATCATGGAGGTAGACCAGAGAGTCGGTACCATCTCTCAGATATCCCATGGGGCAGATGGTCTCTGACCATCCTTGCTAGGAATTATGGGTACATGTGCCCATATGTATCCAGGAGAAAATTTGCCTTAGTTTGAAAAGAGCAGAAGTCAGGAAACCAGGTTCTATTTTCAATTTTAAATGAAAGAAATCTTAGCCTGGGGTACTTTACCTGTAGTTTCTGAGCTTCAGTTCCCTCCTTTGTAAAGAGGGTAGACTACATGGCCTGCATTCCCTTTGTTGTCCCTTGAGGGGCACAGTCAGGTCATCAGAAGGGACATAGCAGAATGGATGAGAAAGCAGGGCAGCAGCGGCAGCCAGCCTCTCTTCCTGGCTGTGCTTTTGCTCTGGCTTTTGGGCCTTAGGGATATGACCCTGTGGGTTGCTATGACAACAAAACCTCATGGAAAAAGACAAGGCCAGTAGTGCTTGTCAGTTGGAGAGAACTATAGTGTTGCTGAGAGACAATCCAGGGGCAGTTGGGAGACCCTGTCCATCTTCACTCCAACACATCTGCAGGCACCTGGGACTTCTGCCTAGGCTAGGGACAGTATGGTGTGATTCTGCTATAAATGTCAAAGAAATCATCTAGGGCAGAGATTAGTTAGGGGGTCAATGCAAAGCACATTTGCTAACTCGTCTTATCCAGTTCTCTAAAGCAGGATTATTTTTCATTTTACAGAAAGAGGAAAGCAAACCATAAGGAATGGTGGAAACTAGAGCTTCCCATGGACATGCTTCGTACTTGTCTTTCTGAGAAAGGTGACAGCTGTTCTCTTTAGGGAGAAGAACACTGACTGCAGAGGGGATGCTTGCACTAGTTCACACAGCAGGATCAGGGTGGGAGCCAGATGCACCTGCTCTCATTGTTTTTTACCCAGTGAGGCAGGTAAGCATCTAGGGCCACAGCTAGGAAGACATACATTAGAGCTCTCCTGGGAAATGATTAGACGCTAGGGGGGGCATGATCTTTCTTGAGAGTTTGCTGCACTCCTAGCAAGGCTATCTTGAGGACCCCCTTACCTGCACTAACAGTGATGGCTTCCATGAACTGGTCCCTCCAGGAATGGGTCCCCACAACCAATGCCAGGTTTGTCTTCCTGATCAGCTTATCCACTGTACTCTGTCATGGAGAGAACAACTTGGAATCATGAGGTTAGAGTTATCAGAAGCAATGAGGCCCCCTGTGTTACAAAGGAATGAAAGATACCCTGAATTTCAGGGGTTCTAAAACTTTCACATGAGGCAGCCTTGGATGATGCCTTCTTGGAAATCCCCCTAGATTCCTTTTCTTTGGTTGTGTATTCTGACATTGGGTGTTCAGAGAAATGTAAGTATAGAGGGCTTTTTCTTTGTGTGTGGTCTTTTTGAGACAGGGTCTCTCTATTATGTAGCTCTGGTTGTCGCAAAATTCTCTGTGTAGACCAGGCTTCATAGAGACCCACCTGCTTCAGCCTCACAGGCCTGGGAGTAAAGGGCTTGGCCCACACCACACCTGGCTTGAAATGTAACTATAGAATAAGATGTTAATAAGCTTTGCTCTGCAGTAGTGCGTTTTAGTATCTTTAAGACATACACTTAAACAATTGTGTCGACACACCTAAGGATTTCCTTCTCTACTTACTTCATATTCTTTATCACGTTTCCCTGTAGTATTCCTAGCATACACTTGTCAATTGTTATAAATGGAAAACTGAGACCAGGGGTGGGTAAGTGGTTTGTTCAGTTTCTATTTCACATTCTTAGTGGTGAAATTAGAACAAAGTCTCATAGCTTATGTTCATTAGACCTCACTGATGGTCTGACCTTGAACTCATAGGACTCTTCAATGATGACCTCAAGTTTGGGGTGTTCACCCAATACTGGCTTTCCCATCTCTGCTATTCTCTTGGCCTCCTCTTCCTCCACAGTCAGCTTCCTGTCTGTCACCTCTGCAACAAAAGAAACATCAGACTAGCTTTAGTGCCTTTTCCATCCTCCAGAACTTTATAGCTCAGAGAGACATGAGCAGTCTCATGAGCAAAGCAAGAAGCCCTCAAGAGCAGGGACTGGGCATTACTAATGTCTCTTTCTATTAAGTGCTGAACATTCTGTGATGGGACCGTGAACAGGCTCCTGTTGTCCTGAGATGAGCATTTATCTTTCTGTTTTCTTCCTGGGCGGGCAATCTGACCCAAAGAATTTTCAATGAATGGCACCAAATGAAGTTCCCAAGCCATTTGGGGAGTGTTTGCAGAGCTAGGAAGAAAGGCCATATCTCTTGATCTTTAACTATTTTGAATTGCTGGGTGTGATTGCCTACTGCTTCATGTAAGAGTTCTGGAAGATACACGAATCCAAAGACATTGACTACTGGCTTCCATTAGCATCTGTTTTCAACATCGTTGGCACTGTCTCATCTATGAAAGAGTAAGCAGTGCTTTCGCAGAGATATCTCCATTTTCGCACAGTGAATAACATCCTCACAGTGAGAAACTTGGACAGCGTTCCGAGAAACTTCATGGTGTTCTGATGACAGATCCCCCAGGATTTCTTTACAAGGCAGAGACATTTCTTCTGAAATATGAATGATACATATACATACATATATATACAAAAATAGAACAAAGTTCTTTCTTTATTTTCTTTATAAGCTTTCTCCGAGTTGTTCAGCATCTTGCATCATTTACCAATGGTTTCTTCTCATGCTGAACATTTAAGCCGTTTTCCCACTTCAGTAAGTGAGTCTATTTTACAGCCGCTTCACCATGAAGACATGTTTTCTGGATTAGAGTGAAATAGAGATTGAATCTTTTTATTCCCCTTTGATTAGAAAATCACTCTTGGCAGCCCGTTTCTTTCAGAGCTCATTTAGACATCTCCCCATCCAAGTCCACAGTCTCACATTCAATTAGTTCTTTTATTCAGCTCCTTAATTGCTTTCATTCCACACAGTAAACCTCCCACAGGAATCCTCTAGTCCTTGGATAATCCCAAGGACAAAATGGGTCAGAGGCCAAGAAAGTCTTTTATTTATTTATTTTCTGTAACTGAGGAATCAGTGAAGTGAGGAGCAGAGAAACTTGGGTCCTGGAGGTTGCAACGAAAACAACTCAGGAAAAAGACTATAAACCAAGGATAGGTGTTACTAGGCAGAAAGACTTATATGAAGATTTTCTTCGTTAACCTGAATAAGGGCAGTTGATAGCGAGCAGGCTCCAGTGTCTGAGCTGGCTGCTGGGCTCCACGTTTCTACAACCAATGAGAACGTGATCCCTGATACTGTCTGGGAGCTGTCCGTGGTGCTGCACCATCCTAGCTCTGGTATTTCTTGAAAATAGGCCTTTTTTTATTGTCACATGTGTGCTCTGACATTTTCTCACACATGTGTAATGCATTATAATGGATCTGGGCCCCTCCCACCCTCCCCATTACCTCTATCAAGCCTCTCTAAACCTTACAAGTCTCCATTCCATAGTCACACATTTTAGTTTTATTTTGAGAACCAGTGAGTTTAATGGTCCATCTGCCTAACAGTGAATTTGGAACTTTCCACTGGAGACTTGTGAGCTCACCAGTGGGGTTACTCAATGGCATCAGGGACTCTATAGTTCCCAGGGACTAATGTGGTCTCCAGTGCTGCAGGTTGGGAAGGTCCTTTTGAGTTCCTTTACCTTCCAGGTTTGGCTGTTGTTGACAGATTCATCCTTGTGTGGACTCATTGCAGACACGGTAGTGCAGCTGCATTGAGTTCATGGTTAGAATGGCCCTACCATGTCCAGGAGATGGCCTTCTACAGCCCTTCTTATCCTCTGGCTCTTGTAGTCTTCTTGCTCCTCTTCCACAATGTTCTCTGAGCCTTGGGGGTGGTGGTGGTGGTGGTGGTGGTGGTACACGCATTGTTTGCGGTGGATCACGCGCCTTTCACTTATTCTCTGTTCTTTTTTTGTATTTTCAAGCTGGATGATCTTTTCTAGCAGCCTCACCTCACTTACTTCATTTAATATGGGTCTCTGATGAGTTCATTCTGAAGGCAAATCTGGGAATCTGAATGCGCTGGGGGTATTTTCAACGACAGCAGTCCTAGAAACTGAACTGCAAGGCATTTTGGGGAAAAGCCCTCAGAGAAGACAGAGAGACTCCTTAAAAAAAGGAGTCTCTTTCCCCTTCTTTCTGGCTTTGGCATCGTACCACACTGTTTGTCTCGGCAATGACAGTGTTATCCTGCTCCTCCCTCCCCAGTTCCCTCATGTCATACTTTACATGTGCCAAGAGAATGTTATACCAGTATAATGAGCTCTCCAGTGACACATAAATATACCTGTCTAACCTCTTGTCTAGCTATCAATCTAGCACTATATCCATCTGGCATATTATTGATCTACCTGCTGACCTGTCCACCCCTGTGGTGACAATCAGTTTTTCTATATAGCCTTTTGCAGAAATCTCTTTGACAAATAACCAATCCTCTAAAGTCACCCACAGTCCCACAGAAACACTCTGTTTATGTTTGTTAACTCTCTCTCTCTCTCTACACACACACACACACACACACACACACACACACACACACACCTTTCTATAAACTTTGACTTAATGTCCTGTCAACAGTCCTCTCTTTTTTTCTAATTTTTGCATAATGGTCATTACTTTAAGTTCAAGTGAAGTTAATTTAATCAAGTCCCAAACTTGAAAGACGAATAATAATGATTCTGATTGCTCCTCAGAATCTCAAGTGAAAAGAACAAAGAGAGGTGATACTGATATTCAGGCTGACTGAACAAACTCTCCGTTCTAGGAATAGAAAGGGAGAGAGGCGGGGTAGGAGATGGAATATAAATAAGACAGAAAATTGGACAAATATTGGATGAACAGAAAGCCTTCAGGTTAGGCAAGGATGGACTGTGAATACTCTGCAGGCATCCCCACAAAGAAGCATTGGTATGGCCAGGGCTCTCAGTCAAAGGCCCTTGAACTTGGTGCAGTAGTCCAGAATGAACATACTCTCTTTCATCACCAGGCGCTGTTAATCATGTTGGCCCGTCCTCTCAGGAAGATCAAAATCAAAACCTGAGATTTCTGGTAGATATAAAGCCTGACAAAGGGCTCCCGAACCAGAGGGCTACAGATTGAAAGGTGTAGGATGCCCCCTCTTCATTTATACTTATAAAGCATGTTAAAAGTATAACAAAACTTAAACCAAATCCAGATATGTGTGTTAGGAAGTGAAGGTAAGACCTGGAACAAAGAAACCCGAAAATATTCATGTTGGGTAGTATGAGCAGAGAGAAAATGAAAGAAAACATATTGGGAGCAGAGTGCAGAGCATAGAGCATAAAATATCCTATCGGCATAAAATAAGCAAGAAGATAAAGAGGCCATAGCAATGTGTTCACAGAAGGAATACACATTAACTATGTGCACTTTTTGCTTAAGGCTCCAAGGAGGCAAACAATCTTATTACATTTATTGCCTCTTCCTAATCCCAAGGGATGGCCTGAAGGCAACCTGGAGTACCAGTGCACTCTGTAAGAGTTTTGCCTCTTTAAATGGTTTTATTTTGTGTGTGTTTGTGTTCAAAGAACAGACGAAATGTAAGACATTCCTTTAAAACATATTGAGATTGTCTTGTGACGCCCACTCCATCTACATCGAGTACAATGCTGCCAGACACAGAGGGCTGCTTTTCTTTCTGGTCAGGAGGTTGGATGCTGTTTAGAAAGGGCTTCTACTCTTGCCAGCTTACTCTCAAAGTAGGTCCATGTCCTACCCAGGATCTAAATTCTGAATGAGACTCTCTTTAAAGAAAGTCTATAAATGTCTTATCCAGAACCCACACATAGTTTTACTATTTGGAGTGTATGTAACTTCAAGGATATATGAGAAATGAATCTGAGTCTAGCAACTTAGGTCTCCTCTGTGATGAGTTAGAAGATCTCCAGGATCATTCGCGTGTGTGTGTGTGTGTGTGTGTGTGTGTGTGTGTGTGTGTGTGTGTGATGCAGGTGAATTGAGATGCAAAGAAGCCTATGACCTACCAGGATGAAAATGTGCAGTCTTCTTGGCAAATTTTATTTTAACAGCTAACTATGCATTTTCCCATATTCACTGATGAAAATGACGCTCAAGGAATTATCTGCTTCCCCACAATTACTTTATGTAAGGAGTCTCTCAGTCATTGGGAGGATCTGTCAAGTTATCTTGACCCTATAGTTCCTATTAAGTATAGTAATGGACATTGATCGAAAACCAAGTAATGGCATTGGTAAGAATAGAAAAGAGGGGAAAGACAGACACCTCTTACCTGGAGATAACAGGAGCACTGTTTGCAAGTGGATACCAGGGAAAGGGAAGAAAGAAAAAGAAAGAGCATTAAGATCCCATCATGAAAGTGTCCCCAGGCTCTGTCCCCAGGCAGCATAAGGAAGGCAGTGGGCTTACTCGGCAAGAGCTCAAGAACACATGCAGACAGCAGCATTTGAGCATGCGCAGCGACAGCAGCAGCAAGAAATGCGAGAAGCTGGAATGACTGCCGAGCAGCTGCAAGAAAGTTACCCCCCAGCGCTTTCCTGAAAACACGTGGGCTAAGATGGAGGCATGAGAAGGTGATCACTGTGACTCAGTCTGAAAGGGAGCGGGGACCCAGTTATCATGAACAGGGTGTGTGAGTTGCAACCTTGCCAGAGTTGAAGGGGAGCAAAGGGCTTGAATGTGAGCTCCGGATCGCAGTATGCAAGAGTGGAATACTGTTTCACATCTGATTCCTAGCCCTAGCCTTACAAGCAAATCATGCTCTGCCTCCCAGTGCCCATAAGTTTTTCAGTCACAAATGGTATCTTAGCTACCATTACGGCCAGAGCTTTGATGTTTTTTTTTTTCCCCTGAAAGAATGCTATAAGGAAAAGATGCATCCTTTAGACTGTTTCCACAAATGATTTATAGATGTATCATAGTCAGAAACATGGACTCCTATTTTGTAGCAGCTGTCTAGTCTTGCCCCTGCACTTAGTAATGCTCAATAAAGCCTTGTTGATCACTATCTTGGCAACTGATAGTCTTTTTGTTCAGAAAGGGTAGGTGAACTCTGGATCTCAGATACTCTAGAACAGAGGGGCGGTCAGACCGAGACATGTATGAGGATGGGAGATGATAAGTGTAAAGTCTCTGCACGGACTTGGAATCAGAGTCAAAACCATACACAACACAGGATGTCTCCAGCTTATTTTTGCATGTGCTGGACTCTCTTGCCTCTAAGAAAACCTGACAGATGCTTCCAATGATGGAGAGACTCACTGCATGAAAGAAGAGCTTTGCTTTTGCTAAATCTCTCTAAAGGAATTCTTGTGAATTTCACACCACATTTTCATCCTGGTCGGATGTGTAACTGCACAGCCCTCACTCCTTGGCACTTGCCAGGTCTGAAAACGTCTTGCCATATACCCTTGGTGGAGACTAACAAGGAATGAGAATATGAGTATATTTGTGGGAACGTCTGCAAATTGCTTCTTCTAGTAATCTCAAAGAATGCAATGCATGCTTGAGACCACAACACCATGTTCATAGCCATCGAAGATGCATGTGGATTCAAAATCTGCATGGTGTGTGAGTGGGTGAGCAACAGTTGATTTTCCTAGTTATTTCTACTTAGAACAAGAAGGTAACTAGTTAGCCAATAGGTATTCTCATTTCATTAATAAAGACAGCAAGGGAGGTAACTCATTCTGCTCCTTCCATAGATCTGCATGAAGAGCACTTCAGGCCTTTATGTTCAAGTGGAGGCTGAATGCACACGAGTGCACCCAGGGATCTGGGTGCTCTGCCTCTTGTCTTCATGAATCTGAGGGTTAACTCAGTTATGGATGCATCTGTGAGGTACAAGTAGGTCAACGTTGAGTCACTGACTACTGTCAGGGTGTTTCCCTTGATTTCCTATGTGTTGATCCTCAGGGTCACGTGAGAGTTATTTATCCCTGCTCAGATACCCCAGAGACAATCGGGAAAGAAGATAACTCAGGAAACTTTTGGGGGCACTTGACAAGGTGTGTCCCTGGATGTGGAAAGAAGAGAAAGAAACAGACCCCACTGTTGGAAAGCATCTCCTTTCCCACAGGACACTACCTATGGCCTGGCACTGACCCAATATCCCTGACAACAAAATGCTTGATCATCCTTACTAACAAGTTCACTTTTACACTCTGGGGTGTCCTCCATGCCAGGGCAATTGTATTCCCTCTCACCCTCTCTTTTTTCCTCTACCACAGATCATGCAGAACGTTTACTATCACCTCTGAAGGCTGTTGTGTTTGCTCAGAATAGAGTCTCCTATTTCAAGAGCAATCCTTTAAAAAAAGTTCAATTGTCATTTTGACCATGCAGAGAGAACACCAGCCTGAATGCCTAAGTCTCTTCTAGACAGCAGTGATAATGAAAAGCAATTTCCACTGTACTGTCTCTCACTCGGAAAACAGTAGGGCATCCTGCAAATCAGGATGGATTTTCATTTGACTGTGGACCTAGACAATTGGGTTTTATAACCTTTCACCTCATGGTCTGATGCCAATATCAAAAGAGAACTGAAGAAACTGAAAATTAATGCCTTAGAGTCTGGGACCTAGACCATAGGGCAGGAGACTGGAGAAGCCACACATTTCTTACTGAAAACTTCCATCTTGGCACCTTGGTCTCTGGGAAGATCTGGGGGGCATGTCACAAAGAGTTTTCTGAAATCCTTGTCTCTTTACCTCCACCCTAATTAGGACTAGGCTTCACAAGGATTTACCTGAAATCTTGGTTAAAGAATTCAGTGCCAATGGGTAACCTCATATGGGGAGCAGCCGCAGCCATTTGCATTCAGCCAGGTCTTCTGAAGAAAAAAAGGCCTATCCTACGACAGTTCCTGTCCTACTATTTGGTAGGGGATTCAAGGGGCAGTAGAAAATAGCAGTTTTTAATAGCAAAATAAAGGCATGGATGATATTCTAATCACTTCCTCCTGCATGGAGCTTCTGCCTTCCTTTCAGATGATCTGCACTATCCAATGATCTGCTTTTATCTCACATGGGCCTTGGGTATCTTTTGTTTCCAGTCAATCACAGTATAGTCAGTGCACAAAGGGGACGTGATGGGAATGAGGTAGGGCAGGCACTGAGACAATTTATGAGACTATTTTGGAAAAGTGAGGGCTAGAAGATAGGCTGAAATACAGTGTGAGAGGCAATAGAACGAGATTCTCTTTCTTCTGGCACTCTCCAGCGGTCAGCAGAAAATTGAGCTTGCTTTGATCCTTGAATGCTGGATTTCTCCAAACCAGTGTTGGCACAGAGGTGTTGTATTCTGAAGACAGTTCCAGTGGATGATAAGTGACCGTCAAGTTCGAGGAGAACACCTGTAGAGGAGCTTTGGGAGTGTCTCTATTGACCTCACTCTCTTCCATCTGTCAGTGTAATTCCCTGTTGTTGAACATGAAACCACCAAAGCATGATCACCCCTACTAGATGAACAGACGTTTTTGAATTCCCATAGCTCTTCCTCCAACACTTTCAAAGTGGTAGCTTCTGGTAATTTTCATTAAATGCAGAAAATTTCCCTTCTATTTTCCTGGTTGCAATAATGCCAACTGTCAGTCCCTTAAGTCTGAGCTGGGATGTTGAGATTCATGTCCTGAGAAAATGAGTAGAGGTCTACTTCTCTAAGCAGAGGTGAGACGTGTCTTGAGTTCTGAGCAATGTCTTCACTCGCAGATGTTAAGCAAAGGCAGGCATCCATGAGCTGTTCACCAGCTTTCTCTTGTCTCTCAGTGATCAACACTATTATACCATTTAGAGTTCCTTTATTTGATAATCATAAATAAATATTCTGGCCTTGCCCAGCGTCTGTTCTTTTCTAGAGCCTACTTGGTCAGGGAAGGGTTGAACCTAAAATGACTTACTTTCTCTTACAAAATTTCAGTTTTCTGTTTTCATTATACCAAAGCAGCCTACACAAGGGACCTTCCTTTAGATGATGATGAAAGGTAGGATGGAGTGGATGAGATGTCAAAGGGAGGAAGTAGAGTTTTGAATTACATGTTGCAGGGCTGCTCTCTCCTAAAGAGCTCTCAGAGACCATGGCCAACTGGTATACCTCCCCATGCCATGGCCTAGCCAGATAATGCACTTACCTGCAGGAAGAGCAGAAAGGCCTGTGAGCCACTCTGCAAGTGAATAGCTTGCCAAGCATTCAATATAGGTTGAGGAATGCAACAGAAAATGGTCAAAGCATTATGGCAACATGGGTCCCAGGCTCTCTCCAAGACCCCACCCCCACGGTCAATCCCAGATATAGTGTGGGGTGGCAAGAGAGGGGCACAAACATGCAACACATTACACTCCTTTTTTTTCTTCTCCTCCCCACCCACCAAGGAGTTTTCACATTGACAGGCTATCGTATGGGAACAGAGAATAGGGGGAGGCGCAGAGGATGGTAACAGTTGGATTATTGGATCATTATAGCATAATACTGAAATAACTCATTAGGGCAATGAGGAGTTGAGGCTGCAGTACTGCCCAGAAGGAGGGAAAGGAGGAATATGGAAATAAACTCTGGCTAAGAAGGCAGAGATGACACCGAAACAGGGTGAGAGCGAGAATACAGGAGGGAAAGTAATAGACATTTTTGTCAATAGGAGGAGGAGGAGAAGGGAACAAAAGGCGGGGGTAAAAATAGTCACTTCTTTTTAAAAATTGTTTTCTTGTTTGTTTAAATTTCTTTCTTTCATTTTTCTCTTTGACTTTTTCTTGGTTGTTGTTTTGATTTTAAAGGATCTCACACCTGATATCCCACGTTCCATCCATTTCGGTTCACCAAGGGCAATGAAGAAATTCTCTTGCCTTTCGTATTCCTCCTCATCTACTATTTTAACCCTTATGGTTTTCCTGTAGGGACAACAAGAGAGAGAGTGTCGACTAGGTGGGCAGGTTGGTCGTTTATCTGAGCACAGCCTTTAATAATCATTCCCATCACTCTTGGCACATGCAGCCCCGTTCTGCCATGGTGGCCGACAGCAGAACTACAGTGGATTGTTGTCTTATTAAAAAAAAATGCTTTTATAAAAAATGCTCTTAGCTTTTCTTGTCTCCTTGGTCATAGCTGTTCTTATAGGTGAGAGGGAAAGGAAACCACAAGGACAAGGACAAGTGGGCAAAAGGAGCCAAGAAGAAGGAGGGAAGTGGGAAGGAAGATTGGGGTCATGGTGGGGAGGAGTCATTTTAGATTCTGCCAATGGTTAATAGGAAGTGAGTCAGGCAGCACACTCTGTTAGTGTCACATGGTGGCAGTAGCATTTCTTTAGGCATCAAATAAATGACCTGCTCATTGGGAGTGATCCTGAGCCCATCCGCAATGAACAATTCATCTACAGAACCCAGGTCTCCAGTCCCTTCTTTTGCCTCATTAAGAAAAATTTTAAAGGAAAGTATTTATGAAGAGGGATACTAGAGAGGGGGAGAGAGAGGGAATAGGGGAAAAGGGAGGAAGGATTCTACTAACTTTCTCATTTTTTTCTTTATTCCATAGGGAGGTCTGGAATGTGGACCAAAGTGAGTGTTAGCTTCAATATGATTCAGATTGTACTATTAGTATAATTATTGTACTATTCGTACTATTAGTACAGTCCTGTACTGTTGACATCCTTGTCATAGAGGGATGCTATGTCCCAAGTTGACATTCTAAATGCTGACTAACATGGGTTCAGAACATGAGGCTGTGGTGATGGCTGTCTACTTCTGGGTATCAACACAGTGGATTGTCTGTTACAAATAAAAGCAAGCTTGTCTTTGTGTGTGTGTGTGTATATGTATGTATGTACATGTGTGTATGTATATGTGTGTGAGTATGTTTACATATGTGTATGAGTGTATATATATATATATGCGTGTGTGTATTTTACTTAAGATTTTTTTTCATGCCTTGTTGGGTGGACAAAAGACAAATATCATTGGTCAATGAGAGATTGGAGGTCAGAAACGTCTCTGTCTATAAGACATAGGCCTGTTTTGCTACCAAAGGGACTGTTGCATGAGTTCTGAATGGGCCTGTCTTAGAGAGATATGATGAAGGCTTGGTCAGCCAAGATTTACCAAGCCCTAATCCAGCAGCTTCTCCTCCAGAACACACCTAGGAAGGATGGTCTGACTTCTTATTGGAGGCCAGAGGTACACAAGGACATTCTGATGGAAAGCACAGATGAAAGCTCACAGCTCTGTGGATTCTGAGGCATTTCATGGGATTGCTGGGAAAGCTTCCCCTTAGGTAAGAATTCTCTCCCTGCTGCTCCCTCTGCCTCTATATCTAGCTCCTCTTACCAGGGAGAGTGTAGTAAGGCAAGGAGGTCTTTGATGGAAACCTATAGTTTAAGTTCAGTCAAGGTCAGGGGGAGAAATAAGCTTCAATGGCAGAGATGTAGCAGACAAGATGGCTTCTGTGGGCTCTTTGGGAGAGTGGGATGAAGTATGATACAAATATATTGGTCCTCAATCTCCGGGGACAGGAACCCAGCCTTGAGAACAGCTGTATTTGTGGAAATCTGAGAGTCTGTTTCTCATGGTTCCTCTCGTCTGTAAACCAACCTGTCCTTACCTCTATACTGCATCACTGAGGATCTCACTTATCATATTCTTAGAGTGTGGGCTGGTTCTCTCTCTCTCTCTCTCTCTCTCTCTCTCTCCCTCCCTCCCCTCTACTCACCCATATTCATTTTACCACCCAAGAAAAAAAATTACCATTGGTTCTTGAAGATGTCTCTATGGTTACCATGGGACAGGTTGCAGGTGTTAGGTCAGAGAAAGAGAAGTGAAAGAGCAAGAAGAGGAATAACTAGGAAGGTAAATGAGGAAGAGAAGGAAATGGATTGGAGAGAGGAAGAAAGGAAGGAGAGGAGACTGTCACTGTTAGTGTGGAGGACAGGGTACTCCACCTTTCTGAACACTCATATCCACCATGCGGGGGCCCATCATCTCAATGAAGCAATTCTTGTTTTTCTCATACGACTCATCATCAATTACCTTGATGTGAATTGTTTTGCTGTGGATGGAAAAATAAAGTATCATAAGCAATGAGCAGAGTTGGGACAAGGCAGCTGGAGAATAAACAGGAAGAGAAGGACAGAGAAGGAGACTCAGAAAGGTCCCAATTCCACAGGTGAATGGAGGAAGGTGGCTGCCCAGGCACTCCTCCGGCCTCAGCAAGTCCTCTTGGGTTTCATGTGGCTGCGCATTATAACCATACTTAAACACTAGAGAAAGCTCAGGCTTTACAGCCAAAGGTTCTGAGTTCTAATCCCGGAGATGCTGTGTTGATCTTGGACAAAATAATTTAACCAACATACAAACAAGACAAGTAGTGTCTTACACAGTCTCAGCGATTATGTAGCACTTTGTTTATCCATTAGGAATATGTTTCAAGACTCCAGTGAACATATGAAACCACAAATAGTACCAAACCTCATAATACTATCTGTGCATACCTTTGATGAGGGTTAGCTTATGGATCAGACACAACATGAGATTAACAACTAATGGTAAAATGGAAGAATTATAACATTACCAGTTTGGCATGGTGGTACACACTTGTAACCCAAGTACTCCAGAGGCTTGAGGTAGAGGGTCACTATGAGTTTGGGGCCATCATGGACCACACGATGAGTCTGAAGACAACCTGGACTACAAAACCAATACCCTAACCCAAAACACTAAACCAAAACCAAAACACTCACAGTACACTATAATAAAAGCAATGTAAAACTTATGAATGGTTTACTTCTGGAATTTCCCATTTAGTATTTTCAGGCGGTGGTTTGTCATAGCCAATACAGACTGTCTGGTTCCCACACTTGAAATCTAAAACCATTAATGTCTATGCGTTAGACCTCTTAGTGGGTTTCACAGTGACATTTGCAGAGATGCATGTACCATGGTTGCCAGCCTTCGGCCCTCACAGCCTCCTGTCTCACTTGCTCCTCTCTCCCTGCTCCCCATAATTCCCCAATGGTTCCCAGAGTCCTTCTGAAGACTGATGAAAGGCTGCTGCATAATAGGAAGATTGCCCCAATAGGTCTTCCTATGGGCTTTATTCTTCCTCTCTTTGCTTTTGGAACAAGGAAGAATTTTTTTTTTTTGACTTCTGGAACCACTATATGATGATTGAAAGTGCTCATTTTATAGAAAGAACAGAAAGAGAGGGACAAATAGGCCCGTGGGAATCTTGTCCAGAATAGTAGACTCGCTCTCCCTTTTGTGTGGCAATGGAGATCACAGGGAACCAGGGGAGCTGCTCAGTTTGCACTACACATTGTCTCATTTACGGTGGGGGGAGATTCTATGATGCCACAGTGAGGGGGCGTGAGGGATGGCTATATAACTGTCGGCTGCCTGAGCTGGGATCCATGTCCACGGTCTACAGTGATCCTTTGGCCAACACCAACCACATTGTTTTGTGTCCAAAAAAGTGTTATTCTGTAGAATGAACATGTAGGTCACCGTTTCCTGTCACCTACCCACCCACCCCACTGTTTCTCCTTTCTACAGTTGCTTTAAAAAGTGACGTAAGCCTGTGCCCCCAAACTGTTGCTTCTGGTGGGACATCTCAGGACCAGAACCCCAGTCCTCACATTTCACCTCCCCTGGAGGTGCCGTTGTGTCATGGAACTGCCTCTCTCGGCAGCACAGGGATTCAGAGCTCTGCAGGAGGCTGCTCTGCTTTCCTCGGCAGTCCTCTTCCAGATACACCTCTAGGCTTGGCTCTTGCAGAGGGGACAGATGCCTTCTGTTCTGATCTTCATTCCTTTGAAATAAGGCACAGCCATCTTTGCAGTCTAACTTGGCACAAGCTCTTTAGTCACTGAAATCTCCCCAAGTCAACCTTAAGAGTTTGCTGAGGTGTCTACAATCCCTCTACTAACCTCACCTCCTGGGTCCATTCTCCATGACTTGAACATAATGGTTGCTGGTCCTGCCTTAGACCAGGCCACTAATTGCTTATGAAATGATACTGTAAACCTTGACGTCCTCTATGTCCACTTGAGTCCATGAAACCCCAGGTAGCTGCCATGGGAAACAGTGTGCCTGCGGCCTGTGAAAGGAACAACATTATAGCTTTCCTTCTTCTAGGGAATTATTGCCTGGGTTAAAAAAAATCTGACCTCACCCTCACAATCTGGGTGGCCTTGTGCCACTTGATAAAGACCTCAAAATGTGACATGTTTCAAGTGTAAAGTCGCAAATGCAAAATGCCATACTAGTATCTGCTCTGTAGTGTCTTTCAGACAACACAGAAGCAGGTAGAGGAAAGCATGTTCTCTACTGAGGACTTAGAAAACAGGAAGCATTATTATTAAGTATAGCAAGGCAATCTGGGAGAGTCATATACAACGGGATCTTTTCGTTTCCAGTCATTAAGTCAGAAAATAAGGGGAAATCAATAAGTCGTACTTTCTGCAAATAGAAGTCAGGTCAAGAAAGGGCTAGGTAAACAAGGATAATAGATTCCCAAAATGGATTATTACAGGGCTTAGAGTGCTAGGAAGATACGGGATGAGACTCATGTTCTCTCAAAGTCTGGTCTCTGCCATCATTAGAGACAAACACCGGCTGGAGAGAAATGTGTCCTACCCCGTGGGCCACGCTCGTTTTGATTTCTAGTGAATGGATAAACAGGAAAAGAGACACCGCAGACATCTTAGCAGAAGACAAGAGAAAGGAAGACAGGTTTTGAGTAGCAGCTGGAGGAAATGAGGCTAGCTGCCTGGAAACACCAGTAGGAGGGTGTGAGGAGGGAAGGAGGCAGGGTGTGCGATTCCCCCACTGAGCTCACTCCTGGGAAAGACATTACATCTGTTCCCTCGAAGGTGTTACCTTGTCTGGAAGCTGGAGAAATCCCT